TGCGTGTGCGTGTGCGTGTGTGTGTGTGTGTGCGTGTGCGTGTGCGTGTGCGTGTGCGTGTGGGTGTGCGTGTGGGTGTGGGTGTGGGTGTGGGTGTGGGTGTGGGTGTGGGTGTGGGTGTGTGTGTGGGTGTGGGTGTGGGGGCCTGTCTGTCTTTGTCTGTGTTTGAATTTGGCGTCCTCATCGCGTGAGGACAAGTTCTTCTTTCCGAAGCTCGTCGAGTACATGACCAGTGGCCCGGTAGTGATCATGGAGCTCGAGGGAGTCAATGCTGTGAAGGTGTGGGACAAGTTGAAGGGGCCAACCGATCTGAAGAAGGTGAACAAGGACTCCTCCCCAGCATGCAAGCCTAAAGTGACCTAGTTAGTCATAGGTACGAACCTGAGTAGCTGTTTGTGTTGTCTCCTCCTGTTGTGCAACCAATCGCAACAGTAAAACTGCCAGTGTCTAGGAGGCTCCACAGTGCCTGAGATCACTCTTCGGAATGGACCCAACACGAAATGGCTTTCATGGCAGTGATTCCATTTCGGCAGCAGCACGAGAGCTTGGATTCTTCTTCCATGCCGATGAGTTCCGAGCGAAGATGGTCAAGAAGGGAATGAGTTCGGCCTTTATCAAATGGTGGATGGACACATCGCTTAACGTTGCCGCATAGCTTGTCATGCCTTGTGTAGAGATGCTCTTTCCTGATGCGAGTCCTTTTTGCTTCCTCAGGACCTATATCAGCGATTGTGCGGTGGGAGCAAGGGGATCGTGCGCGAGAGCAAGATTCTGCCAGCATCCAATCCCAAATGCCTGACACAGATCCTGCCGGCCAGTGCCGCAACGTTGGGAAAGACGGTGGTTATGCGTCTCAACGGCGGTCTCGGCACCAGCATGGGCCTGGATAAAGCCAAGAGTTTGCTTAAAGTGAAGGACGAAGAAACTTTCATGGACCTCATCGTGAAGCAAATCATGCAGATTCAGGAAAAGCAGCCGATGCGCTTCATGCTTTACAATTCCTTCTCGACTGAGGCAGATACGAAAGAGTTCATGAGAAAGTATCCGGCTGTCTTGGCAAAGTGGGATTCGGTGTCATTGCTCCAGGGAATGGCCCCAAAAGTTGATGCAGAGACGTATAAACCTGCAGAGTGGCCAGAGAAGCCGAGTGCTGAGTGGTGCCCACCCGGACACGGTGATTTGTTCCTCACCCTTGTCACCTCTGGAACCCTGGAGCGTCTCTTGAAGGATGGCTACAAGTTTCTCGGCACACGGTATGTCTCCGGGTTGAGTTTTCGATGGAGTTTTTGTTGTTTCGACTGAAATGCACAGCATTGCTTCAGGTACATGTTCGTCGCGAATAGTGACAACCTTGGTGCCTCGGTCGATTTGCGAATGCTTGGGCACCTGGAGCGCTCCAAGGCGCCCATGCTCATGGAGGTTTGTGTGCGTGGCGAGGCAGACCGCAAGGGTGGCCACCTGGCACGGATCGTAGAGAATGAGAAGGAGAAGAAGGATGACAAGAAAGATGACAATGGCAAGGAGACCGGCGGCAGGCTCACACTCCGAGAAAGTGCTCAAGTAGCTGGAGCAGACGAGAAGGACTTCCAGGATGTAAGCAAGCACCAGTATTTCAACACCAACAACATCTGGCTGAATTTGGAGAAGCTTCAGGAAATCTTGAAGAAGGGTCCCCTCAAGCTTCCTTTGATTGCCAACGGGAAGGGAGTGGATCCCTCCAGCAAGCAAGATCCAGGATTCGAGGTCATTCAGGTGGAGACAGCCATGGGTGCCGCAATTTCGCTCCTGCCTGGGGCAGAAGCGATTCTTGTTCCACCTTCTCGCTTTCTTCCAGTGAAGAACAACTCGCAACTGGCTGTTCTGAGAGGGGCCGCCTACACGATTGGCGCAAACTACACCTTAGTACGTCGCCCACAGTCTATCTCATCGCAGCCACACATGAAGAGCCGACTGCAGGCGGTTTTCGTGACCTCCGAGGCGGCACCGTTCTCGACCACCGGCGGTCTTGGAGAAGCCATGGACGGTTTGCCAAAGGCCATGGCACAACTTGGTCATCGTGTCATGGTGATTGCCCCGCGCTACGACCAGTACTTCGAAGCGTGGGACACAGGCAGGAGCTGCGGAGCACTCACCAACCCCGAACCCGTGAAGATCATGACATTAGTAGCTTCTCATTTCATGCTGTGGGATTCCTTGTGCCTTCAGGCTTTTGGAAGCAGATTGAGATGGGAGCGCACAAAGAAACACTCCACTTCTTTCATGCCTTCGTGGGAGGTGTCGACTATGTGTTCGTCGACAATCACATGTTCCTTGGCAAAATCCCAACGAAGACCGAAGGCCGACTCTACGGCAACGGAAAGGATGCGGACTTTGAGGACAACCAATTCCGCTTTGCGTACTTCTGCCGCGCAGCGGTAGCAGCCATCCGTGAGCTTCCACTGGGTGGCTTCCCATATGGCCAAGGTAGCGTTGTTGTTGCAAACGACTGGCACAGCGCCGCCGTGCCAATGCTGATCCACATGGAAAGGTCGAGGGACCCGGCCATGTGGGCGCAGACAAAGGTCATGTTCTGGTGCCATGACAAGGCCTTCCAAGGCAACTTCCCCCGCACAGAGGATTTAGCAGAGGTTTATGGCATGATGCCGAGCTACCTTGACAGCATTACCTTCGGAAAGGCCGGAGCTCCGTACATCAGCCTGGTGGCATCTGGTCAACGATATTCAGACAAAGATGTTGAGACAAGCCAGGCACTGGCAACTTCTGGCCTCGCACCCACTCCTCCAAAGGAAATGAGCTGGGAGCAGGCCGCTCGAGAGTGTGCGGCTGCATTGCGGCATCTCAGCTAGGAGCTAGGTGTCCAAGAGCTCGGAGTTTTTTGGCGTAGGCCAAAGGCTCAAGGATCCTGGAACTTACCGGGGACCACTCATGGACAGCAGCTTCAGCTTTGCCTGCAGCCAGGCGAAGGGGCCCACACATTTCTCTCCTAATTTATGAGTCTTTAAACAAGCAGGCATGGCAAAGCATCATGCCGTTGCTCGTGCACCTTTTCCCAATGCCCCTAGGGCTAGATGTAACCAGACATTCATTGAATCGACACCTGCAGAAATTGCACCGATTTCGATGTCTGGGTGATAACTCGACCAACAGATCGCGCCACAGCATGCGGAGAAGAAAAGTAGTCCAAATGCAGCACTCAGCGAAGTGCGGAGAGCACCGGCTTGGAAGGCAGCAGGTCTCACTCGTGCCAGGCCTCGGCATGACTGGACGCAGCACAACTTGTTTCGCATGTTGCCAGAAGTGCTCGGAATGCCAAACTCACGTGTTCACCCCATGAAAGACAATAGCCCTTCATTATTATACTTGCAGCTCATGAGAATCTGAGAAAGTAAAAAGATCAGGCCTGGGTAATTAGTTGTTCCCGTCGCTACACAACGAACAACTGAATATGATGTGCCGTTGCTCTGCCCGTGAGCTTGGTGGATGAGTGCAGACCTCAATTTCTCACAGCAGATACAACCTGCAGAAAGTACGTAAGGCTTGGTGGTGCTGAACTCTGTCAGATCAGGCCTATTTCTGAAATTGGTCGGTGCCACTGTGTACGGCCTTCTGGTCACAGCCCTCAGCCACAATGTCACATGCGAAGTGTCCGAAACCACGATGCTTCAAAAGCGAGCTTGCCGGAGACCTCGCACCAATCGCAGCCCAGATACACAAGAATTGCTGCAGCACGCCCTCGAGCAGGAGGACGCGGGACCTCCGAAATCTCTCAGGGAGCCTTAACGAGTCTGGACTTTTCCTGTCCTTGCCAGGTTCTACATTGTGCAATTGGTTTTCCAGCTTTGCTCACATGCAACTGTCTCGTTGAATGTGCCGCATGGCGCAAGCGCAGCCAGGCAAAGCTGAAGGAGATCGTGGGCCGGCTCTTCCACCGCCTGGAAATGGCAGACGTGCCTGTGGACATCGACACAGCAGATGCCGAGGCAGAGGTCGTCCTGAACGGTCGACAGACTTTCGGTGTGCTCTGAAGGTCTTGGCTTTTGATCCTTGAGCTCCCAAGCTCTACCACAGTGCTTCCACAGAGAGATGCCTGGCACCTGCACCCAATCGAAGGCCTCATACTCCCGAAGTCTTCGTCCCAATAGAAAAGGCGCCCATCATTGGCCGCGGAAGATTCGCGATAAGGACACTGGAAGAAAAGGTTGAGTGGTTGACCAGGGGGGTTGAGGCGGTGTTTCATCGGGCATGAAGTTGAGCGTAGAAGCCGAGACTGTGTTTCCCAGTACGCTGAAGGATCTGTTCGAGACGTGCCAGGTGCCACAAGCTTTGACAGAGACGGCACATGTGGTTCCATCGCAGAGGCGAGATTCCCAAACCAAACTGCCCCTGAGGACCAAAAGAAGTGTGGTTTCCGGTATTTGTGACCAGGGGCGACATGTTGAACTTCATGGCTTGCTTTACTTCTGAACGTCATTCGGTTCCAAGATGTTCTAAGGTCCTGCTCCTCCGGCCTCCCCATCGTCGACCTCAGCCAGGGAGACTATGTCTGCTGTCCAACGGCAGCCCTTGCTTGCCGAAAAGAATGAATCCCGAAGGCCTGTGTAATTAACCCCCTTGTGCCTGACACCAGATACTTGTAGACGGCCACTAGCACATGCTGCAAATAGCAGGCTAGTTGACTGTGCGATTTGCCTCCTGGGACCCGGTCATGTTTCACCCTGAACTCCGCAATGGACTTGGTCCATTTTGCGAAGCTGGGGTGCCACGAATCTTGCTTGTCTTTGACAGCTTGGGATTGCAGTGCGGATCGGAAGGCAAAACGGCTCTTGCCCCGCCAGGATGCGCCCTGCTTGGGAGCAGTAGCTGCTCTCAGTGCGCTCCCGACTTTGTGGAAGTTGATGGCGAAGGGCGTTGCGAGGCCTGCGTGGACACTCCAGGCTGGACGAGCTTGGACGCCAAGATCTGCATCGAATCAGTACGTAGTGACACCATGTACTATGGTCTCTCTTCCAACCAAGCTTGCTGCAGGTGCGGTGGTGGACAGGGGCCGCCACGCCCTTCACCTATTATGTTGCGCCGACAGTGCTCTATGCAACCTCAATCAATTGGTTTCCCAGTTCCGCACGGTTTAGGGTTTAGGGTTTAGCGTTTGGGGCTTTAGGGTAGTTTGGGGTTTGGGGGTGTTTGGGGTTCAGGGTGTAGGGTTTAGGGTCAAGGGTCTTAGGGTTTAGAGAGTTTAGGCCTTCTCGGGGCGGGCTCATCTCACCACTTCAAGCAGATAAGTTAAAGGATCTAGGGTTTCGGGTTCTAGGTTCATTTAGGGATTGGTTTAATAGCGACGTTGTTGATGGTCTGTTTTTGCCTGGCTTGTTGGCGATTGTGTTGCTTGCTCGGTATGTGGGGGACGTGGTGATCGGAATGCTTGCCGGGGTCTTCTGTGCATTGGCGCTGTTGGCGAAGAAAATCGTG